ATTTTACCTATTTATTAGAGAGAAGGAGCACGACAGTGGGGTGAGGGGCAGAAGGAAAAGCAGACTCCCCCTGAGCAGGAAGCCCAATGTGGGGCTTGATCCCGGCCCTCTGGGATCATGACCTGAGCCAAAGGCAGGTGCTTAACCAACTGAGCTACCCAGGTGCCCCAAAGAATGTTATTCAAATATTATAGAATATATAGGGCTCTCTGTTGAGTACTCGTAGAATTCAACCTCAACTGAAACTAGTATCTAACTCTACCTAATTCTTATATAAAGTATATCCAACTCCTTAGTAAAATGGTCTGTTCTAGTAAGATTGGTCTCTTTATTTTCCCTTTCCCACAAGTAGATAATTCCCATTTCAGGTTATGTGTTCTTACTGTTCCTTCCACTTTCCTCTCTCACTACCAAAATTGCCCTAGATCTCCAGCAAGGTCTGCTAGTCATTTTACTGCCTATTGCCTTGAGATGGAACTCAACACTTGATACTATATTTCCTCAGAATCTTCTGCATCTTGCTCCTGGTATTGGGTGCTATTTCATTATTTATATTAACTAAACACTGTCATGTTGTATTTCCTCCTACACATACCAAGAATTATGAGCCACCACATATATCACTTAAATCCATGAAGCATTAATAAGCAGCCTGGTATTCATCTGATAAGCACATTCTAGACAACTCAACATGATTTTTTTTTTTTTTTTTATTTGAGAGAGAGAGAATGAGAGAGAGTGAGTACATGAGAGGGGGGAGGGTCAGAGGGAGAAGCAGACCCCCCGCCGAGCAGGGAGCCCGATGTGGGACTTGATCCAGGGACTCCGGGATCATGACCCGAGCCGAAGGCAGCCGCTTAACCAACTGAGCCACCCAGGCGCCCCTCAACATGATTTTTTAAAAAGTATTCAAGCTTCTGGAAAAGGTGAAACTATGGAGACAGTAAAAAGATCAGTGGTTGCCCGGAGGTTAGGGGGAAGATCAATAGATAGAGCACAGAAGCTTTTTAGGGCACTGAAAATAATCTGTATGATACTCTAATGGTGGATACATGTCATTATACGTTTGTCTGAACACATAGAATGTACAACACCAAGAGTGAACCCAATGTAAACTATGCCCTTTGAGTAATAATGATGTGTCAGGATTGGTTCATTGATTATAGTAAATGTACCACTCTGGTGGAGGATGTTGATAATGGAGAATGCCATACATGTGTAGAGACAGAAAGGATATGAAATATCTCTGTACCTTTCTCTCAGTTTTGTTGTAAACCTAAAACTCTTTAAAAAGTCTTTTTTAAAAAAATTCAAGTCGGGGCACCTGGGTGGCTCAGTTGGTTGGGCCACTGCCTTCGGCTCGGGTCATGATCCTGGAGTCCCGGGATCGAGTCCCGCATCGGGCTCCCTGCTCGGCAGGGAGTCTGCTTCTCCCTCT